AAAAAAAAAAAAAAAAAAAAAAAAAAAAAAAAAAACATTCTTTACCAAAATTGATGAAGACCTCCGGAAAAGAAGTCAGAAAGCCGCGAGACGACGCCGGCGCCACCTCCGCCGCGTAGACCGGCGCAATCATAAGGGCGTACCCGACTCCGAGCCCCGCCACGAACCGCCCCGTCATCAACACCTCGTAGCTGTTCGAGAAACCCATGATGGCGGCCCCGGCGAAGAAAACGACCGAAGCCACCACAATCGTTATCCGGCGGCCGAGCCAATCGGAGGTTTTTCCGGCCATGGCGGACCCCAACAACGAGTAGATGTTAATTGTCCCCACGAGGATCTCGATTTGCACGTCCGATACCTTCAAATCGCGTTGTATGTACAGCGTGGCCCCGCTCATTACCCCAGTATCTGTGAATTTTAAATATTTTTAATTAAAAGTGAATTAAAAAAAATATTACAATTGATAAAATTTCAAAATTTGTTTGTTGTTAGTGGATTTTTGCTAAGACTATGTTCGGTAAAAATTGCTTATAGTGTATAAGTGATTTTCGAGCTTACCATTCATGACTTGTAGTTAAAAAAAACTAATTTATATAATCAAAGTTTTTTAAAATTATCTGATAAACTAGTTAAAATAAATTTTCAATAAATTTATTTTAAAAACTACCAAAATAAATTTATTAGATAAGCTCGAAAGTTTTAAATAACTTCGTCTTACTAAACGAAACTTATACAATTATAAAAAAGAAAAAAGAAAGAAAAATCTGCTAGTCAACTCGACTTATACAACAATTTATCGACTATCCGTTAATACAATCAACTATCAATTATAGCGCTATCAGCTAATAACCAAAGAAGACCATCAGACAAGCAACAACATTAATCTTGGGAAAAAATGTTACCGTATCCTAAGAGTATGGAGGTCATGGACGCCATAACAGATATGAGCAAAGCGTACATATTTCTTTTGGGTTTTTTCTCCACAACCGCCATTTTCTCTGCCATTAATTATTACTGCAACAATAAGGCTCAAAGCTTAGAGAAGAAGATGAAAGAAAAAATTAGGATTATTTTATTTTATTTTATTTTTATTTGGGCTTTGGTTTTTGTCTGTGTTTGGGTGAGTGGTATTATGGGTTTGGACTTGGGAAGTGTGCGCATGATAAGTGGGGGGGACTTTGGTGCCTTATATAATAGTGTAGCAGCCCAGTTGGTGTAGACAATTCTTCACCAATAATAAAATAAATAAATATATATAGTTTGATAATTATTGAAAATGAAATGTGGGGTATGCCTATGATAATAACTACTATGATGACTATTCTCGTTTTCACACACACATACATACGTATGTATATTTTTTAAATTAATAGATCTTAAGATAGTATAGTCGATATATATTACTCATTTTTAGTCTTACTTAAATTCAAAACAAACCTTTATAGCATCTTTACTACATTTTTTACAAGGACTAGATATACTTATCTTGTATATCATCACCAATATTATCATTTTTCAATAGTTTTAAAATTTGTTAACGGAAATCATGCTCTTGTTTGACACTCAAACACTGTATATAATTCACTTAATTAGTCTTATAGATTTTATCGGTTTTGCTATAAAGACAACAGTTGTAATTAATGAATATGGTAGATTTACTTGTTATATCTAGAAGATTGACTCTACTATAGAGCCAACTGTTGGCTCCACAGCAAAACCGTAGATTGAATTAGTTGATCTGAGAAGTTATTTGAATTAGGAATATACAAAGTGTTTAGTAAATAATTAGTTGTTTGGTATGAAAAATAAATGAAAACTATGATAATACTGTGTGGATTCAAAAAAGTTATTTCACATGGCTCCTTATCAAATAACAAAATTAGATTTATTTTTTTTTTAGTTTTTTTTTTTGTGATGAAACCCTCAAATCTCTAATTTGGGATCAAAATACTATTTTACCAAACTATATTAATACCAAACTTCACATATTGTATATTAATTATAGATAGTATGTAATTACTAAAGGAGGAATAATTTATGAACCGTGATAAAAAAAAAATTTTTGGTACAGGGACCTTCCGGTTTCCGGATCCCCATGAGAACCGACTAATCCGGAATCGAGTCGAGTAGTACCATAAGGGCGAGCTTTGAACCGTGATAAAATTGAGTGCAAGTGTTGCCTTTTCTACGGTTGGCCCCGTGCTGTGTTTTACTTTTATAATGTTGTTATGGTCTTTGTGGTATATATCTCTAACTAATAACATAATTAGTCTAGAGAATCTTATATATCCTTATTTTTTGAAAATAAAATTCATTCGAATCAAAATTATTGCACACCACTGAAAATTCAAATGGGACAAGTCTCTACAATTCAAAGTGTGGTTGGTGGAACAGTAGCAATGCCTTTGAATATTGAAATCTTGGGCAGACAAATAAAATAAAATAAAATAAAATAAAAAACTATTTTGTCGTAGGAAATTATGAAATATTATTTTTACTTTTCAAATTGAGATAGTATAAATATTAATATTCAAAGTTAATTTTAAACTTATTTTTTCACTTTGCAATTTATGATGTTTTATTTATTTATTTAAAATTCTTTTTCATCTCATAATTTTGATAAAACAACTTTGTATCCATATAAACATAATTTTTTTATGTGGTGCTTGTTAAAAACCATCGATCATATGAGAATAATACTTTTTTAGAATTAGTGAGAATTCCGTGCGATGCACGGAGATTTATAAACAATTTTTTTTTTTTTTTTTT